GCTGAGATGGGAGGATCAATTGAGGCCAGTAGTTCAAGACCTGCCTCAGCAACATAGTCAGACCCTGTCTCTACAGAAAAAAAAAAAAAAAAAAATTAGCCGGGGGTGGTAGCATTTGCCTGCAGATGTGCCTGTAGTGTCAGCCACTTGGGAGGCTGAAGTGGGAGGATGGCTTGACACCAGGCGTTCAAGGTTACAACAAGCTATGATTGCCACTGTACTCCAGCCTGGGTGACAGAGACCCTGTCTCTTAAAAATAAAAAAAATATGGTGAGATGACAAGGTTAGTGAAGAAAATCTATTCAATGGCCAGTTTGCATTCCAGCAGCTACAAGATCTTGCGGACTTTATAAGCTACTTGTCATGCTTCTGATTGCAGCAACTCTACATCACCTTAGTCAAAGTCCATTCATAATGCATTATGCCTGACAGCACTTTTAAGGTGATTAATTTATTAAAATATACTGGCATCATGTCAAGAATGTCTCTTCATAGAAACACAAGGTTTTAATCATAAGCAAATATTTTTTCAGCCGACATTTGCACAAAATAAATTTGTCAATGAAAAGAAAAATTCTTAATTTGACTATGTCCCTGAATTTTGATCAGTTTAAGTATTCTAAAAAAAAAAATGTAAGCACTGAGATTTCAGTAAAATGAAACAGACTATTACATTTAGTCAATAATCAGCATGACAATCTCAGTCATGTCCGATGATACAAAATGATTTTGCCTAAATTCTAAGTTGAGCATAATGTCATAAATTTTTCCTAAATTTGAAATGGAGAATTCTAATTCACTTTAATTTTAAAAATAAGCACATGTACTGTGAATGAAGGAGTGTATGTCATGAAATTAAGGCAATGACCAACTATAACAACTTGGAATTCATTCGATTTCCTCCTTGGTTACCAGTACCGACCCCACATTTTAATTATTTCCTATTTGATGACTCTGAATAATGGCCAAGTTTAAGCAGCCAATTAGTTTGCTATTTTTTTAAATTCAAACATATACTGAGAGATTTGGCCAATCACCTCACTTATGGCATGCAATTAGGTGCTTAGTGTTCTCAGATACGTGGCACTATTCTCAAAACAACTGCCTGTGGGAAGAACACTTATCAAATAGATTCAAATAATAGTCCAAATCTAAGAAGCTGCAACTGAGAATGACAATAACTTAGAGTTTTGCCAGCTTCCTAACTTTTTTTAATATAGCTCAACATTGGCAAATGCATATAAATAAATGACACACAGATGTTCAATCTCTTCATGAGCTGCACTAATTTCTAAACTGAAGACACAGAATGCAATGCCTACCATTTTAATTATACAGCAAGCTAAATGAAATCATGGAAAGCATGGTGTTTTATATAGCTAAGAAAACACAAATACTGTTGGGAGAATTCCCAGAGTGAGGTATTCAGAATGGACCTTCAATTACTGGATCAAACCACCAATCCATTCACTTCCCCTTTCAACTGTTCTGATAAATGTTCCAATTAGTTCAACTTTCTAATTGGTTAATGTGGCCAGCTACCCAAAAATTAACATAATTTGCATACTTAGTTACACACTTTAAATAGATTTGAGATAGAAAAAATAGTTTGCAAGTGTTCCTTAAAGTACTGAAAAGTATAGAAAAAAATAAGTAAATGCTAAGAATTATGTTCTATTTATTGAAGAAACTAAAAAAAAATCTATGGGTGCTTAAAAACAAAAAAAAAGCAAAAGAGAGAGAGAGAGAGAGAGAAAGAGGGGAAGTGAGGGACAAGTGAAAAGAAAGTATAAAGTAAACATTTTTTCAGGAACTCAGACTTTTTCCTCATGTGCTACAAAATTTGCTAAGGGGAGGAATTTTCTTAGATGAACTTTCCTGGAGAGTGATAAGTGAAGTTAGCACATTTTCCTTTCCTTCCTTCCGCTCAAAACATAAAGTGCCACATTTGAGCATTTTCAGTTTATCCACAGCCTCAGGCATTAACCACGCCTCATGCCAACTAGAAAGTGAAGTAGTATTCTGCTGCTTAGGCTTTTGATTTGGCCCCATTCAAGAACATGCAATATTCCTGCAGGAGCAGTTGTAGGAAAAAAAAGAAAAAAAAAAAAAAGAACATGCAATAAAATTTCCCTGTTCTTTTTGGAAAACAAATATTAAGAGTTTTCAGATCAGTTCGTAGCTAAGTGTTTGCAGCTGTAATTTTGGGATGATATTTTACCATTCTTCCTTAAACCCAAGCAGCTGTGTTTACGGTTTTATTATTTGCACTTTGTGACTAAGAATGCAACACCTAGCCAGCAGAAATAAAAACAAATTACTATAGTTAAAGAGCAAATAAACAGATTTTACCTGACCAAAAGATAAACGCAAAGATCTGAAGTTGTTAATATTCACAGAACATAAATTTTTAGCCAACACTAAGGGGTTATTTTGAGTGCAAAACAAATAATAAAGCAAAAATACTTCCAAAGATTTAGAATTTTTTCCCCCAATAATATAGAAAAATATTTCTACCATTTTGTGATGATGTAGTGGACATTTGAAATATATTGTTATGAGTTGAATTGTCTCACTACAAAAATATACACTGAAGCCATAATCCCCCATACCTCAGAATGTG